AAAAAAATAGAGACCGGTTATAGAAGCTAGATAAACCTTGAAAAATGGTTATAAGATTTTGTAAAAATAAATATGTTTCGCAAATAATACATTACAAACCGTTAACTGAAAAAAACGTAAGAAGAAGAAAAAATTAACACACACAAAAAAAAAGTGATTAACACACAAAAAAAAAAAAATGAAGAATTTCAAAAACATATCCATTATATATTTTTAATTTTTTAAAAAATGCTTTTTGAAGGCTAACTTTTAGAAATATGGAAAATGACCCTAATGTTTGCATTAACTCTTGTCTGACCCTACATGACCAACCATCAAAGATTCAGTGTCTTCCTAGTTTTCTGTTCTCCTTCATTGATATTTAGTAGCAAGAAATGGATTTCTTTTCAAACTTTTGATGTTAGTCCAACACTCTAGTCTTGAGTACCATAGTTAATTTCTCTATATTTCCCTAGGTCGCCCAGACAATTGTTTGAAAAATCAATTGAATGGGTCTATCTTACAAATATTAATTAACAATTATGGGTGAGAGAAAATAGAAAAATAAAAATCTTAAGGGTCTAGGATAGAGATGCTCAACGAATATTAAGCAATTTTTTCCCATTAAGTGGTCTTAATTAGGGATTACGAACAAACCACCTCCACTTACACAATTACACTGTTATATCAATAATTTAAAAACTAAAATATAGAGGATATGGGTTTCTTTATCAATCAAGTTTGATTACAACCTTCACTAAGTAAACCCAACAAGTGAAAAATGTTCAGATTTAACTGAAAATGGAATATTTTCTAGGATGCCTTCATACAAATTGTTTAATATTTCCATATTTCTGTGTATGTATTAAAACATTAATAAAGTGTCCATTCATATAAATTGACTAGTCACCAGAACCCACCTACAAATAATTTGGCAAAACTTCTTTTGGCTTTTCATTTTCCAGTTCGATCGAGGGATTCCACAATTAATTGTAAAAGCAAATTTCTGTTATTAATTTCAACCCACCTGCTTACTACATAAATTATTATTTTTTTACCCTCTTTGAATGACCAAAAAGTTATGATCTTTGTGGCCATAATCTATTCAGATCATACGATATAAAGATAAATACTTTTACGAGTATAGTCTCTTTTCTACGGCCCTAACTCGAGTTCAGTAAAAGAAAGATTTGTAATCGTATTTTAATGTCGTATAAAAATTTTATAGACATGCATAGATATAGAACTATATAAACAGATGCAGATTTTGTTCGTAATTCACACTTCGGTAAGCTAGAATAACAAAACTAAAAGAAAACAAATTCGTTGTTTCGGTTTTCTAATTCTTTTTTTGTTGGTTTATAACGGTTCTATCATTCTATTCCCTTCTTGTTACTGTTTCATTGTTCCATTCCATTATTATAAAATGCTACTAACAAAAATCATAAATCAATTACTTAGCTTCAAGGTAGTACGTACATATATAAGATAAAAAGTGGCATATATATAAAACAACTCCACAATGCTCGCAAAGAAAAGAGGATAAAGCAATGGGAAAAGAGATCAATGCTAAGGAAGAAACATAAGGCCATGTGATGTGCTTGAGGTGTTAGGCAGATTCAGAATCTTTCATTCACCTTTTTTTATATACCTTCTTCTTCTCTCTCTCAAGGCATGTTTTATTTTGTAAACAATAATAATAATTACATTTTGATATTAAAAAAACCTGTTTTTGCCAAAACGCAGTATCTTTGCCTCTGCTTTTATAAGTACTTTTTTCCCTATATGTGTATAAGTTTCACTAAGCAACTTGTATCCCTTTTGCGTTGGGTAAAAAGAGACATCACACCACTGACCACGCACCACTTACCAAACTTTGCAGTACTAAATCTCTCAACTTTGATCAGTTTTGATGACTTTTGGCATTTATCATGAGATTCAAAGCAAAACTTTTTTTAAAATGGTCGTTAATTCATAACCTACATAGAAGTTACACTTTTTTAATTGAATTACTAGGTCAAAATGTAGGTTCTAATTATATTACTATGTAATATATATTCTGATCAAATTGTGTTTTAGAACTGAGTTAAGCAAGAAATATTCTGAAATTCTTAAGATCTCTATCTAATTAAATTAATTAGGTGAACTAGTTTTATTGATAATTTGTTTGACCTAATAAGTAATAAACATTAATATTAAATAATGTTATCTCGGCTATGACATTAAATCTTTTTTGGTGTAGTACTGTAAAAGAAAAAGTCTTAACATCAATCTTTATTTTGATGAATTAATTAGATGTGATAACTGATATGCCTTAGTAAAAAGCAATAACAACCCCTACCAAAAAAAAAAGCAATCTTTTTTATTGAATGAAAATTATTGAGGTGACGATTATTATTTTTATGGTAAGTGGTAACCATTTGGTTTTTAGACATTTATAGTGTGGGATATATCTTTTGCCTTTCCAGTATATATATGTCGTATTTTTTTTTATTATTCAATGGATTTTGCGTTATGATAAATTTAAGATATTTTAATTTCATTCTACGAAACCTGTTAATTGGGAATCTAAAAAATCTTCAATTTTGTAAGGACATTTATGTTTCTGTATCAAATTATTTTCATTTTTATTTTTTTGGACAAGTATCGAAAAAAATAAAACTTCCTTTAAAATGAAAGCAGAGAAAAAAATTAATTTAAGACCAAAAAGCATTGTGTGAAGAGACAATTAGTACAAATTACTTTCTTACCTGTTACAATGTTTGCAGGGACACATTCATTAATTTGGAAATACCTAATTAACGTTAGACTTAAGTACTTAACTTATTCGCTTGAACCAACATTTTTAAATTCCATTTTGATATTAAAAATGACACGTGTCGATCATATATCTCAACTATGAGGTTTTACATGGGTCCACATGCGCACAGAGCACGCACTCTTTGCATTGCACTTGCACGTGAGATGTCCGTACTATGACGGTCCATCTAGGCATCTATCATAATTTTCCTTCTCAATTAATTAAGCAATATATATTAAGTGTTTTACAAAATTTAGTGTATAAATGTATAATTATTGTAAGTTATACACAGTAGTAGAGACTAGAGAGCACGTACTACAACTTCTTTTTTATTCTTATTTCAATCTTTCTATGGGATTTTTTTTTTAATAATAGATATCAAAGTTTTGCCGAAATGTTTGATTAATTACGAGGATGAACAAAATTTTTTGGTAAAGAGTTTCTCTTGTTTATCAAAAAAAAAAAAAAAAAAAAAAAGAGTTTCTCGCAAACCATCTCAGTTAAAGCACCAAAACCAAATGATTAAGTGGTCATGGTCCACATGTAATAGTATGTTACACACAATAAAATTATTTTATAAATTGTGACGAAACTACTTCTTTGATTATACAATCCAATGTAACTATACGTCACACAACACGTCGGTTACATGAAGTTTAGTGAGTTAAAGTCTTTGAAACCCTTAATGTTTAGAGAATTTTTATTCTTCTTTTTGTTATCAAATACTCCATTCATTCAAAAAGAATATTATTAAAAAAAAAGAATATTATTTTAAGATTTTGTTTTTATTTTAAAAATGTTGTTTTGTATTTCCAGTAAAAATATAGTAAATCTTTTAATAGTTTTTTTAATATGTGTAAAAATGTATAAAATGACACTTTTTATAAAACAAAAAGAATAATTTTTTACCGTACTGTAATTTTCTCATTTAAATTTATACAAGTTTATTAGTAGTTAATTCTTTTTTTGTTTTTGTCTTTTCTTTTTGATATGTAACTAGTGGACTCCAAAATGTTAATGTAATAATAATAATTTTGATGCTTCCATACGCGATAAATTCAATGGTTGGTTAGTTGATAGTTTTCTAAAATACTTATTAACAGCTCGAATTTGATTTTTTTTTTTTTTTGGACAGGGAATATGATTGAATTATTGAGAAAAGGAAATTATATAACGGAAATACCACCTCTACCCTCATTCATCATTTGTCTCATACTCCAGGTGTCCGTTGCTCAACGGTTAATTCTGGTACTTTGGGCGGTGATTTTGATGTATTAAAAGAAATCGAGAACCAACGACAAAAGTTTCAATTATTATTATTATCTTTAGGATTCTCTAGCAGTAAAAGTTAGCATTAATACAAAAGTAGTATTATCAGTGTTATTGTATTATTGTTGAAAACCATAATTTGACCAAAATTAATTAAACGCGTTGTTTTCATCAGAGAATAAAATTTGAGATTTAAAAATTTTATACTTTTCACAAATAGGATACCCAATACCGAAGATTCTTTCCTTTTCCATATTAAAAATGTCTAAAAATAGTTATTGGTTATTTATACAGAATCATTAATTTACAATTAAACCCATACTCATAAATAAAAATAAAATACTGCAAAACAGCTGTAACTTGACTGTTTCGGAAAATCCCACTTCACATGCTTCATCTCCCAATTTCATTTCCATATTTTTATTTTTTCTTTCTAATATTCACTTTATACTCTCTTTATTTATTTTTATTTTCCTTTGCTCTGACCCCTTTTTCTAACTCTATATAACCCCCTCACAAATCCTTAATTCACCTCTTCCCCTTCGCTCTCGAATCAATCACTCACTCTTCTTTAGCGTTTTTATTTTGTCTTCCTCGTTTTCTTCTACCTTTTTCTATTTTCTCTTTTCAGTTTTCTCTAGACAAAAAAAAACAAAACAATAATCAGTGTATGTTTGATAATATTTGATGTGGCAGAACTCTTGTGGATCTTGATGTTCAAACATTCATGTCTCCGGTGATTAGTGAAATCCTTAGATCTGGTTTAACTATAGACTCGTCTCTTAGACGCAGGACCCATCTTGTTCAATCTTTCTCCGTCGTCTTTCTCTACTGGTTCTATGTTTTCTCATAAATCATCTCTCCTTTAGCCCTTTATTATTATATATTCTATAACCATAATAATATATATAAAAAACTATATATATACTATAATCTTTCATATCGATATTTACATAATAAACTTTGGGTCCTGCGTCTTAATTTTCTGTGTGTGTTTTTGAATATGAATAATAAAACTGAAATCGGATCGTCGACAAGTGGAAATTGCTCGTCGGTTTCAACCACCGGTTTAGCTAACTCCGGTTCGGAATCTGATCTCCGGCAACGAGATCTAATCGACGAACGGAAGCGAAAGCGGAAACAGTCGAACAGAGAATCTGCGAGGAGGTCGAGGATGAGGAAGCAAAAGCATTTGGATGATCTCACTACTCAGGTGACACATCTACGTAAAGAAAACGCTCAGATCGTCGCTGGAATCGCCGTCACGACGCAGCACTACGTCACAATCGAGACGGAAAACGACATTCTTAGAGCTCAGGTTCTTGAGCTTAACCACCGTCTCCAATCACTTAACGAGATCGTCGACTTCGTGGAATCATCGTCTTCAGGATTCGGTATGGAGACCGGTCAAGGAATGATCGACGGTGGATTTTACGACGGAGCGATGAATCCTATGAATTTAGGGTTTTATAATCAACCAATCATGGCTTCTGCTTCTACTGCTGGTGATGTTTTCAACTGTTAGAAAATTTCACATCATTATCATCGTGAGTGAGACGAATTATCGCATCAGGGGTAAAATTGTAATTTTCTTATAAATTATGTTATGATGCTCTGTTTTGTTTTATAAGATCATTAATTTAGTGTTTAAAACTGATTGTAATGATGGACAGTGTAAGAAATGTGATATCATGGAGATGGTGATGTGAGTTTGGTACAAATATTTTAAGATCTTTTTTTATATATATTAAAAGTGAAGTAATATTATTTTGTCATTTTCTTAGAGTTTTCTGTTTCCTTATTTGGGAGTAATTGTTGCTCTTATTAGAAAGATGAGATTTTGGCTATTAGTGAAATAAATGAAAATAATGTGAAAGCTCGTGGACGGTTTTTGTAGATGGTGGTGGTCCATTTAAATACTATATAGAAATGGTGTGTTGTGATCATTGTGTTAGAGACGATATTGTCCCGATGTGATGAATAATGATGCATTTTGGTACTTACAACAAAATGAGTAATTATCATGGGTCACTCGAGTTTTTTCTTTTTCAAGAATCTTACGTACGAGGCACATGATTTCACTATATCAATAATTTGGTTTCTTTATTCCTTTAAATATCTACATGTCAATTCTATGATCTCAGATTCCGATTAATTAATTAATATGTAGGCTTGTATCTTATTTATGTAATCTACTTATATTGACACTCTTATATACTAGTTACAAACTCAAATTATGATTTTGTACTTTTCAAAATTGCTAACGCTTTTGTTTTGGGCGATAATTTGTTTTTCTTTGAGATTAGATTAATTGTTAAAAACTTAAAATACTTATTTGATTTATCACTTATTATTGATATAGACTTTTAATAATTTGTATTTGGATTAATAAAATATAAGTTGTACTCTGTATTGAAACTAAAAATACAATTACTAAAATTTAAACTAACTTCACGCCGAATAATTCCATACTAAAATCAAACTAATTTGGAATATACGAAATCTTTTTATTTCTAAAACAGTTCATTATTATATACTATGAGAAAACTTATGTTATTTAGTTTTGAAATTTATAAAACTTACATTCATTTTCATATCCAAGAAATCTTACACAGAAGTACAGATTAATCTTCGACCTCTATAAAACACTGAATTTTCTTACTATATAAGACGGTATTCACAGTTTCCACCAACAGATTTTTCAACTAGTACCAGATTTTTCAACTACAGTACCAAAGTTTACTATTCTCGAATGGCAATAATTATTCGTACGGGTGTTTAATTACAATGTTGACATTTGATGAGATAATTTGACAAACAAATCACCCTCAATGATCGTCAGGCACCAAAACAAGTACTTTTTAGTTTTTATTAACTTTTACAAATCTACCAAGCAAATAGGCGTAAGTGGTCACTGACGAAATGATTAAACCAGAAACAAAAAAAATCACTTTCCAAATTTTGAAACTCATATATGTTCAATGAATCAAAATATCACGTTGATTAGTGATCTTGTCCGTATTTGCTTGTTGCAAATAATATTATATTATGTACTCTGTGAAAGGAATAAACAAATGGGGACAAGTAGATGTTCGTGTCTCTGACTTAGCGTACGAATAAAACTATACTTCAAGGTAAATGATATGTGGTGTATATTACTTTGTCTCCACCACAACTTGTTATCTTCAATTTCCTCTTTTTATATCCTCGATCCGAATAATACACGTACGAAAGCTTGATTAGAATCGATTCTTTAGATAGTTGCAATTGCACCATTCGCTTCTTCGTAATTTTGGCGTGAAATTCATTTATTTACAATTATTATCGTGTTGACTCTATCTTTAGAATCGCATACAAGTTCGTAATTTCGTAAACTCAATAATACGATGGAAAAAAGTTTAAGCAGAAAGAAAAAAGAAGTGATAAGTGAGATATTTGCAGTAAAAAATTGAGATATTTAAGCTAATTTTTTCTTCTCAAAAGTTACAATCAGGTCCGGTCAAAAGCTTTGAATATTTAATTCGAGTGAAGGATCAATAATTGCACTTAACGCAACAAATAACTTTGAACTCACTTAAGTAATTAGATTGAGTTTTACCTCTTTTGATTAGAAGAGGTTGTATATAGAATTGAGAAAGGAGAAACTCACGAGTGGAAACATTGCTAAAGTGTTCTACATCAAAAGCAATGTTGAGTCCATATATAGTATTCAAAAAAAATGTTGAGTCCATAGACATGACATTACCAAGAACTCATTTCAAGAGAATTTTTATTTCAGAATTGCCTTATTGATGTTTAATCATCATGGTGTGTGTTGGATCTCCACTGATGAAGCCTCTGACTAGCCAAGAGTGACTCAAACTGAGTGATTGAATCTTTCAAAGAAAATGTCTATTGTTCGTGAATTCCAGAGTAATGAAATAAGACACATGAACATGTTGTGATTTTTTTTACTTAGTGTATGTACAGTAGTTGGAAAACAAAAACATATGTTGTGGAGAACAGGAGAAGGATAAGTCATAATCTAAACAAAAGAAATACCAACACTTTTGTTAAGCGATTCTAAGTTGTGTATGGTTTTAACTAGGCCTGGGCATTCAGATTTCGGATCGGATTCGGTTCGGATTTATTCGGATTCGGATAATTCGGATAGGAGATTTTATTATCAGTTCGGATTTTATGACTATTCGGATCGGGTTCGGTTCGGATAGTGTCGGATTCGGATCGGTTTTGGATCGGTTTTATGTGAAAAAAAAAACTAAAAAATGGCTTCGATAGAGAAAATAAAAAAATCTTGGAAGAAATTCATCTTCTTCGATTTTGACATTCTCAGAGGGCGACTTTTGACTGCTTCTCTCAATATGTGCTTCTGATTCTCGCCGGCGAAATTAATTACTACTTCTGATTCGGCGGTTTCTTCTCACGCCATTACCGGTAAATCTCGTTTTTATTTCACATTAGGTTTAGTTTAGGGATTCTGTACAGTTTTAGAGAATCTGTTTCTTGATCGATTTTGCCTCTTTAGAAGATTTATTTCCACGATTCGTTGTTTTCTCAGACTCTCAGTGTCTCTATATTTCGGTTTTGCTTACTTAAGATTTATGAATTCTCTGGTTTGCCTGATCGTTTTTTTTTTGCTTCTGAACTTCTCTGTTTTTCGTAGCCCTTGAGTTTCCCTTTTGGTTTCGTGTGATGCAAACAAAAAAAAAAAATTGGCAGCTTGTATGTTTTTGTTCTTGTTCGACCTCATGGTGATGAACATTTTGTATTGAGCAACCAAGAATTGATCACTTTGTCTCCCATTGCAGATCAAAATTTTGTCTTGAGCTATGAGCACATCGACTAGGCCTTCGTCTTCAGCTACTATCATCTTAGAAAACCCTGTTTCTCAATCACAGCCAACAGAAAGATTAGTGCTTCGGTTGAACAGGAAGAAGAAGAAAGTTTCATGGAAAGACGGGACCGTGGACAACGAGTTTATGCAGAAGAAGAGTTCAAAGAAATGTTGTATCTTTCACAAACAAAAGCCCTTTGATGAGGATGACAGCGAAGAAGAAGATAACAACCATCACTATCACCATGAACACTCTGATTCTGGTGAGGCCTCGTCTTCTAACGATTCTAAAGCAGTTGACTAATTCACCGGGTATTCGCATCACTATATAATAGAGCTATTGAAACCTTTTAATTGATCTATTCAAGAACACACTATTCGTTTTAAGGTTTTGGTTTTGCATTTTGTTCCTCTTCCCATTACCTAACGCTGGTTGTGCTTTATGTACATGTAATTTGCAAATTGCAGTGTAATGGGATCAATTGCAACGTTGACATCAACCTTCTTGAAGGAATCACAAAGTTGGTTTAGTAATGAGATAGTTCATTCATAATGAACCGAAAGTTTCATAATGTAATCAAAATATCTCATTTAGTATCCCATATAAAGATTCAACCAACTTTACTATTTTTTCTCAAATGGCATGGATCTTTGATTGTCTTTGTTGGATTATAAAATTTGACTAAGAAAATCACTTTCAAGGATCGTCAGGCATCAGAAAGAAATGCTTTATATCAACTTTTGCAAATCTACCAAGAAAATAGGTGTAAGTGGTCATGGATGAAATGATTAAACTTATAAAAGAAAATCACTTTGTAATATATATATGTTCAATGAATCGATATATAGTGTGTTGATTAGTGATATTGTCCTTATTTGGCTTGTTGCAATTTGCAAATATGCTCTGTGAAAGGAATAAAAAGTTGTATTCGTGACTCTGACTTAGCGTAAGAATAAAACTCTTCTTCAGGGCACTAATATGGGGACGAGTATATATATCTCCACCACTATTTTTACAATCGATCCGAATAATACACGTACGAAAGCTTCATCAGAATCAATTCTTTAGATAGTTGCTCCATTTTTTTTGTTTTGTTTTCTTTCTTCATCTTTTTGGCATCCATCATTTTTATTTGCCGAAATTAATGTTTGGATGGGCCAAACTGCCAAAAATACAATCGAAGGAACAGTCGCTGCCATGTATTATATTCTGCAAAGGTTGTTGAGCGATTAATTGGTCTGGTCAAGCTTTGTTTGTAATGGGCCCTAAAAAAAGCCCAATCTTTAAATACTAATTATGACAAATTAATAATAATCAAATCGCTTGATGAGAAAAAGTTACAAAAAAACATCACCTAGATTGGCGGATTGGGACTTCCATCCATGGGTTTGATCTCATACCACAAAAAAAAAACGTATTTGTTTTACAGAATAAGTGATAATGATTCAAAAGAAAAGTAGATTTTCATGAATTAACTTAATTAGTAAATTAATAACAATTAAATAATTCGTACTACAAAACATTTTTAAACAATTCGAGTGAAACAAAGTAATAAGCATGAGCGCGCGTGAGTCTGAAAATAAATGGGTCTAACCTAAGTTGCTGACAAGTTTTGGCATTTATACTTGTAAGTACATATAACATTGATTAATGTTATTTAATTCTTACACTAAATCATCGCATAACCGATGAGAGTGGGTGAACGAATACAGTATATATTACTACTTGATGTGAGAGTAAAGAACTTGTTAAAAAAAAAATTGCCATTAACATTTTATTTTATTTGAGTGTTGACAAAACAAGTAGTCTTTATATAATAAAATAAATATTTGAGGGCATAAAAGTTTTTGGCTTTAGCGGCTAATGGAGAAACAGTAACACGTAGAGCGCACTCCCCGTGGTCCTGAAAGCCTACCAACCTCTCTTAATCACTAACCCAAATTTTTAACATAATTAATTACCAAACTTAGAAATGGTAATTTTGTTATTCTTATTAGAAATTGTAATTAAATTGAAACTCCCTATATGTTGATTGTCCAACATTTGGAGTATTTTATTTACTTAAAATCTAGTAATTTTTAATTTCATCATTCATAATGTTGTTGATTCTGAAATAGTGAAATATAGACCAAACTTTACGAAAAAGCAAAAGTAAAAAAATAAAAATAAAGAAAAAGTTAAAATAAAAAAAATAAAAAAGAAGAAAAAAGAAAAAGTGAGGAACGTGGCACAATTCCCCGTGCGTGTTTCTTCTTCCCCAGACGCAAAACGCAGACGCACCTAAAACTAAAAACTGCTTCCTCTCTCTCTTCCCATCATCATCGTCCTCTCTCTCTCGGATCGATTTTTGGGTTGTGCCGATCAACGGTTAATCTCCGCCGTTTAATTTCATCGTCGTCGGAGGAGGATCTATCTCCGTGTACGTATGCCCTTCCTTATACGTGTTTCGTGTTTTGATTCGCCGAAACCTTTCGTTGGTCTGGTGAGAGCCCATCGATGTTCTTAAATCTAATCTAGATTCTTTCGATTCTCCTTTGACTTACAACTTTTAGGTTGATTTCTGTGTTACTTGTTAGATCATTTCTCTGATGAAAATTCGTGTTTCCTGGTCCTTGACTCAGTTTTTCAGGTCCCGAGTTTTATTTTCGAGATGTGTTTCCCTTTAGTCAAAATTTCTGAGGATTTCACTGGAATCATCTTTTTGTATATTCTTCTTTTTTGTTTTAAGAATTTCAGATCTTTTTGGTTTCAGTCTTATATTTTTTTCCTGATGTGCTTACTGCAGGGTTACAATAAGAAGATAAGTGGCTGTTACTGTGTGAGGAAGGACGTGCAAATTTGTTTGAAAGTTGTGTTAAGTTAAGCAGAGGATTGGAAATTTAGCCTGATAGAGAATAGTTTTTTGATGGGTTCAGTTTGTTGTGTAGCTGTGAAAGACAGAAAGGTTCCGCCTAGTGGTGGGACTGCGAGTGCATCTGTTCATCGGAATTCAGCATGTTCGCCACAATGGAGTTTTCGACGTGACAATAGGAGGCGAGTGGCTGATGAGATTGAGGGTTCACCTTATTACAGTCCATATGTTGCAAGTAGAGGTATTAGTATGGATAAGATGTCATTAGGCTCTGAAAGAGGAACTTTATCTGAGGGAGGAACCCCTCCTGATGGGCATTTAGGGACTCCTGTTTCTCAGAAATCAGCAACTCCAGAAATGAGCACAAATTCTATGGTTCCACCTTCTTCAGGTAATTCTTTTGAGACGACAACTATCGGGAGCTTATCTTACTCTTTCCTTGAATCTATTCCACCAACATGATCGAAGATGGAAGAGCTTTCTTTGTGGGATTATATTCATTCTTTAGGATCAGTAAAGCTTGCTAGTTTCATCATCTCTTCACCATGTTGACTAGATATAGTTGACATAGGGATTTTAAGTAGAACGTTATTGACTATATTACTTCCCGTCACCTAGAACCATGTTATTGTAATGAATAAAGCTTGCTTATTGTATTCTTGCTGTGTCTTATGTTATGCTTTTCTGTGTGGCAGGTTCATCCTTGGCAAGCAGTGATCTCATTGAGGTGAGATGACCGACTTGACTCTAGTTTGAACTTACGAGTTTTGGTTTATTCTCTGTCATGTGTTTTTCGCTTAAATCACTGTTTGCTTCCTTACAATTCGAGGTTGATAGTGCTGGGCTTTCTCTTCTATTTGTGTTCCTCCTATGGTAGCAATATTTATTTCCCTTCAGCGTATCTTTAACCTTTTTTGGATCATCATTGTTTCAGGTGAAGAACTTAATTGACTCACCTGGAAATGTCCCGTCAGCTTTGCCGAAGCCTTTGTTCTCCACATCTTCTCTTCCCAATCCAGTCGGTGATCTTTCATCGGCTCACACGCGTTTGCTTCCTCCTAAATCCACACCATCAAGACGGGCTCGGCGTTCACCTGGGCATCAGTTGTTTAGGCAGGTTTCTGATAGTCAAATTTTAGGACTGAAATCCCCAAATAATAATTACTCGATCTCAGAAGGAAGGTCGTCCTTTGTGCTTTCAACCTGTAGCAATGACTTCGCCACTGGATCCCAGTACGCATCTTCTGAAGGTGGCTGGTCTATGAACACTTTTTCTGAGCTCGTGGCGTATTCTCAAAGGGAGAGATGGTCCTTTGATAGCGAACACTTAGGTTCTGGCAGACGGAAACTAAGTGGTGGTAGCAGCAGATTCTCCTTCTCCCCTTCCGTTGTTGATCAGCAGATTTGTGGAGCTTGCTCAAAGTTACTAACCGAGAGGTCTTCTATTGCCAATTTCGAGCTCCCAATCGCTGCTGTTCTTGCGTGTGGCCATGTTTACCACGCAGAGTGCTTAGAGACCATGACTACCGAGATAGAGAAGTACGATCCTGCTTGTCCCATATGCACGATTGGAGAGAAACGGGTAGCGAAAATAACAAGGAAAGCCCTTAAAGCGGAGGCGGAAGCAAAGGCAAAGCAGTACAAAAGATGTAAAAACCGTGTGGTAGATAGTTATGGTGAGAGTGAATGCGATGAGTTTGTGTTCCAGAAAATGGAGAAACGAGAAGGCAAAGCTCTGAAGCTGGAAGCTAGTTGCAGTAGTAAGAGCTCGTCTAATAATAAGTCATTCTTGAAATGGCACTTTGCTTCTATCAGCTCCAAGTGGAATAAACCCTCGTCCAAAGACTCTGCATTGAAGAAGGGGTTCTGGTCTAGACATCGTAATAACCGGTCTTCTTCAAGCATAGAGGTAAAGATCCATACACTGAATATTATTAAATCATGATTTGCTAGAGAAATGAAACAGTCTTGTAAATAACCAATAATACACATTTCAGGGACTTAATCAGACATCTCAGCTATGATGAAACCCCCCTGATCTGGATCAGAGCGCATGTGGGTTATTTAGGAAAGCTTTGTATAAAACAGATATTAAGCTTCAGGTTCAGCTTTAGCCTTTAGAGCTGTGTTTAAACGTTTTTTTGGATATTTTGTGTGTTTCAGTGTAACCTGTGGGGATAATTTTTAGTAATGAAACAAACTTCTCGTTTTAGAGAGATTTGAGAATTTCCAGCCATTTACATCAAGTTGTGTCGTTTTATACAGCCATCTCCAGTTTTCCAGAAGTTTCAGAAGAACAGAAAATCTGTTCTAATTCTTGTAACAGATAAAGGGAATTAGATCAGATTTGTTTTTATTGGTCACACTTGAAAGTATTGTTTATACCACCATGAAGAGTTTACACAAAACATTACAATATTGGCTTACCAAAGTGTACATAAGGCTCAATTTTCATATACAAATGTAAAGTCTAACACCTACAGTTTTCACAAAATCTATCCTTTATATATGCCACAACAAATATTACAGATATACATATTGTATATTTATATAACCCCTATCTATAAAAATGCCAAGAGCGCATTTTCTTGCGCTTCAAGAATCATACTCCCCAATCAACTGGCATTGCCAGTTCTTAAGCTTGTGAAAAGCTCAGAAACCTTTAGACAACAAAGTCGTGTAATTGATGGGGATTAGAATATCTGCCATCCTGTTGGTTTCCAAGGCCAACGTATCGATTGTAATCATCGATACCAAACCCGTGATAGTTCATCAAGCTGTCGTAATCTCCAGTAGTAGCACGGTCTGGTTTGGGATCTGCGAAGACGAGGTTTTCTTCTGCATCAGATGTATATGGGATGTTGTTGTTGTTTCCCTGATTCTGTTGTTGCGAAGACGAAGAGTCTTCGTGTTTGAGCTGAGATGTTTCCTGCATTTTGTTGGTGTCTTGATTAGAGTTAGAGAGTAACTCTGCTGAGTCTCCAAACTCTTCTTTATACATCTCTTCGATCATCGGTTTCCATAGTCGAACTCTCGCGTTAATAAACCAGTTTGCAACCTAAAAAAAAAGTCAAGAATCAGAAGACCGAAGATTGAGCCAACCACAAAAGTGAGATCTCGCCTTTTCGGTTACCTGGTTTTTCGATAGTCCTGTCTGCTTCGAAAGCATGATTTTCTCTGATTCTTTAGGATATCTACAAAAATCTTGAAATGGTTATCAAATAAGCAACGAGGAGCAAAAAGAAAGTGTCTTTAAAACAACAAACTTACGGATGAAGGAAGTGCTCAAAGAGCCAAGCTCGGAGTATAGAGACAGAGTTTTCAGGTAAGCCTCTTTGTGGTCTCCAAGCTGGTCTAACCATTCCAAGCTGTTGATGCAAAGCTCTCTGTTGTCTCAACCGTTGATCTAAATACCTAAGACGCGGTATCCTCTCTCCTTGTTCATCAGAAGTCTCTCTCTCCCCAAGCTTCCCTCTGATTACCTGAATCTGTTCTTTTATCGCATCACGCAAGCAGCGGAAATGGCGAGAGATTCTATTCAGAGCGACCGATGTGTAAGGCTTAGCTGCTCCAAGACCTGTTACCATCTCGAAAGACGAAGCTAAAGCTTCCATTTGATGGTGGTATTGGTTATACCTTTTATCTACCTACAAAAATGTTTCAGAACTCAAAATTCCAAAGTCTCTCTCTCACTTCAAAGTATTCAAATTTGATTAGTCTTACCTCATCCACCATTGTCAAAAGCTTGCTCTTCTTGCTCTGTAGCTCCTGACGTTCAGAAGGAGATAACTCCTGCGATTTATCATCTTCTGTAATGTTATCACTAGACCCATTTTGAAAGTCTTGACCTTTATCGTTCTTCATCTTCTTATTCCCCAATTTCAAATATTTCCTTACACTAACAACTTCATCAAGCAATTGCTGTGTTGGTTTAAGGTAACGAGATCTCAGAACACTACTCACAAACCCTGATGTCTCGTAACGGTAATTGTTGTAGAAACCAACACCATTACCATTGTTGTTGTAACCAGAGGAAGGTAAAATTTGATCAGAGTGATGATGTTGTTGATGATGACCACTCAAGCTCTTCCCATTCTCATCAGACATAGTGGAAGGATTAAGATTATTGTAACTCAATTGGTTTGAAAGATTCTGGTAATGATACTGAAACGGAGAAACAGAGACAGCTGATTGGATCTGATTACCAAGGCTTAAAGAAAGACCACCACCGTGAAAGCTTAGATCGTTACTTGACACCGTAACGTTTCCGTTGACGGCAACGTCGCTTGTTGGTGGGATAAATACCATCTCGTTGTTTCGAACATCGCCGGAGACAATCTCGGAGAAAGATGCAGCAGAGGAAGAAGAAGCTTGTTGTTGTTGTTGTTGTTGTTGTTCGTTGAGGTAAATGGATTCTTGATAGAGAGATTGCATGCCGACACTATTTGGGTAATACACAGCCATTGGATTATAATCAAAAAGTTGTTGTTTAAGTGAGTTTCATCCGATTGATGTTTTGTCTGAAAAGAGAAAGAGAGAGAGACGTGTAAGTTTGAAACTGAATTGTTTGTAAATAATAAAAGAACAATTCTTTGAAGATGTTAAAACATCGTAATCTTATACGCCGCAATAACAGATTGAATTCAAGAAATGAAAAAATAAACCAAGAAATCCCCAATTTAGGTAAAGAAGATATCAAAACCCTAATTAATCTTTTGTACAGATGAAACTTTCCACTTCAATTCAGTGACGCAAGAAAAAAAAAAAACAGAGGATGATGTTAAAAACATGAAAGATTTAGATATAAAGTTTGTTTTTTTTTTGGTTCTGATGATTTCATACTTTCATGAGAATTAACAGAGAAGATGATGATAGAATTCTAAAAAGGAAATCTTTTTATTAAAAAGAAACAGAGTACAAAGTCAATCATAGCTTTGAATCAAGAAACTACTAAGAACAATCGAATCATTATAGTTAAAGAAATGAAAAAAAGAAAAATCAAAACCTGAGAAAGAGAGAGAGATGATAAACTTTTAAAACCCTAAAGAGAGAGATGTTGTGGATGTGGCTGAATCAGGGAACAGAGATAAAAAGGAGAAGAAGAACTTCGAACAGTCGATGACAAAAAGAGAGAGAAAGAGAAGAGAAGACACCCAATCCCAAGAGACGATTTTTTATAAATTGCAATATTATATTAAATCAACATTTTTTTAAATTTTATTTGGCTTACACTAACAAAGAACAGAACCAAACCATCTTATCATTGGAACCTCGACAACAAACCCAGATTTTTAAATTAATATTAATAAATTGTTTAACAAATATCAGTGTATCACTAACCTATGGAGAAATTTGACAATCTCTTCTCTACCAGTAATTCTTTTTCGTTTTTTAATTCCAACCGAAGCTTCTATATTAATTTTTGTTGGTTTTTTCTGTGCCAACCATTTAGAGAATACCACGCGTGAGCGGAAATTTTCATTTAACTATTTATTTTATAATAGGATTATTGTTAGATAATAGAGAATATTTTTTACAAATACGACTTTTTATATGAATTTATATTTCAAGTTATCTGATAAAACAAAAGAATATTATTGGAACCAGAACGAATACTGTGTTGTCATTGACTTGACTTGGTGCTTATATTCAAGTAAATAGAATTAAAAAATAAAAGAATATCTTTTAAAAAATGAAGAAAAGAGTTGAGTTTTCGTATTGTTTGTTTTTATAAAGTTTAATTAATAGCTTGGACATAAATTCAAGCAACCGTTGAATTGTTTTACTTTTAAATTTTTCCACCAAAGCTTGATAGATTAATTTAACTAAAGCATCTCAAATTAGTTGTGGGTGCTTATTAAATCATGAGTTAGTCTGAACCAACATAGACAGTATGTTTTAATTAATTTCTTACATAATTGCAGATCCCTGATTATAAGCGAACGAGAAACATGTGTTACGTGACATGATACTTCAACTTCATAACTAATCTATGATCTATTGATGTATACTTGTTAAATTATTATAACGATAAAATTCTCAATAAATATTGTGTGATAAAACATCAAACAAGCATTTTTTGAGGCCTTTATAAAATAAAATAAAAAAACATTTTTTGAGGTCTCCTACTGTTTATACGTTATATACGTGTTTCTTCGCGTAATACATCGGACACAAATACTCTTATTAAGTGACGTGCAAAAGAGGAAACTAATTAACTCCATTTTTTCAATATTTTCCTATTTTCTTTCAAAATTAAAAATAAATAGATAAGTAGAAATGTCAACAAATCAATATATTGAATATAAAGTTATTAAAATTACAAAACTACCCCTACACCTAAAGAATTTGATTTGCTAGAAATGTTGGTTTGAGGAAGAAGTGTTGTGTCTGCTCAATTGCTTAATTGAGGGATTAAAGGACCTTAACAACCAGTTGGTGACTATTGACTACCCAATTTCCTTCCTTGTAACGAAAAAATCCAATTATTTGACTAACAACAAAACATATTTTTGTAAATACAAGTGATTATATATAATACGTTTGACATGAAGAGATTTTATACGCAAAACAATAAAATGAAAAGAAAGTTATGATGAGTCGATTCTTTGTCCCAAGGATCTAAGGAGGTTGTGTAATAAATAATAGAAAAAGTAGAATTTGAAAGAAGATGATGAAAAATGAAATAAATAAGGTAGCTGTGTCGGACGCGAAGTTGGTGAAAGTGGCCAAAATCGAAAGACTTGGACGCCAATTTGTTTGATGAAAAAAAAAAAAGGACGCCAATTTGTTTTGTAGACGTTCGTTAATGGAACGAAGCTAACGGCTTTGTGCCGATATTAATAAATGTTATTTTTTGCACAAAACAAAAAATAAATGTTATTATAATTTCATTTCTGTTCATTTTGTTTTATTTCTTTTATTCTTTATTGTTTTTGTTTTTGTTTTTGGTTGAGTCTTGGTTTTGTCGTAGATTGGAACAGCCGACACAAACCTTTCAAGGGGAATCAATGTGTTACAACCAATGTTCAAGAAAGCGCTAGGCGCTAAGCGGGCGGTGGGCCAGTAGTGCCTAGCGCCTAGAACGCCTAATCGGGGCCTAGGCGATTTTTAGGCGGTTTAGACGTTTATAACATAATACATTATATATATTATATTATATATACAAGTTATATAAAATATCTATATAAAACTAAAAACTATGAAATTATAAACAAAAACTAGATAAAACATTTATTTATATTTATATTAAACAATATATGAATATTTATAACTATATATATAAAAATAAAACTTAATTAAATTTGAAAAATACATTAAACAAGATCTATGTAATTTTAGGCGGTCAACGCGGTTATCTAGGCGTCGCATGAGAGCCTAGCGCCTAGTCGGGGCCTAGGCGACCGCCTAGACCGCTTTTTAGAACACTACTTACAACAAATTATTTTAAGTTTTTATTTTTTATAGTGGATAATTTGTTTTTTTTTTTTTAATGTACAATTGGTAAATCGTAAACAGCTGGTTGAATATGGGAGTATATACAGTAGAAAAGTTTGAAAGGATCAAATATTTTACCTTTCTAAAATAGTTTAAATGAAGTAATGTGGTTCTCTAAAGCGAATTATGATGAGTATATTATAAATAATTAAATATATAATGAAGAAGGTGATGAATCGATGATGAGTGATGATGATAGTGCTAAATGAGGAAATGACGAGTAAGAAATCAACAGCTTTTGTTTGGACAAACATCTAGCTATATATTATGACAGCTAATAATAATTAATATCCGTAGAGATATAAATAATCGCAGTTGCTAAAAATAAATAGTCGCCCCGTTAAACCACATAAGTTTTCTTATTTTCAAGAGCAATCTGGTCTACATGTGAATGGCAAGAAAGTAAGATTTTATGGTATGGTTAATTAAGATGTTCACCGGTAAACAGTAATACACTAATACTATATAGTTAACAGGTTTATATGAGTTTTGTAATTTTGCTACATAAGAGTTTATAGCCTGCTTAGATTAGATGTTCACCGGATTAATCCTATAGTTTACAGATTAATATGAGTTTTTATTTGATAAAAACCGCACTAACACAAAATATAATCTTAGTTGCAATTTACCTATTTTCGTCTTACTTTACATAATGTTCTGCTGAGAATGGTATACTACCGGGAGAAGCCACTGTTTTTGCGTTACACTCAAATATCTATCCTTTTAGCGTTTGAGAAATTATGTATGCAAGATCCACACTTTACGATCATAATGTTTTGTATCCAAACAAACAGGTGAAACTGAAAGATTGTTGTTCTTGCCATAAAGATTGATTCGACTGGTGAAAATACATTTTCAAAACATAAAAGAACGTAGCATACCGTAAATTTTCAGTGCATGAGATTTGAAAGTCACCTATATATATAACTTATTTTTTTTTTTTGGGCAAACAAAAGTAGAGTTTCTATGTTAAGTGAATATAATTGCCATTTTAAAGCCCATAATAAAATTATTTAGTCCACTTAACCTGGCCCATAGGGTTAATAAGAAAAAAACGGCAAGACTTTCTTCCAAAAACGGCGTGAATTGCGAAACCTTAAACACCAAAATTCCTCTTGAAGGTTTTCTTCTCAGTATCACTTACTCAAATAAGTTCTTCTTAGAGATCCAATTTGTTTCCCATTCTCTTCTCGATTTTGGAGATCATTAGCTAAGTTCGACGAAGATTTTGCGAAGAATTAGAGTGTTGAAAACCCTAGGATGTGTCTTTAGCGAAGGAAAACAATGGCGAAAGCGTCGACGATGCAAAAGAAGAGATGGGCACTGATGGTTTTGTTGGTTCTATCTATATCAACAGTGGGTGTGATTCTCGTGAGATCTAGCTTTGAATCCTGTAGCGTTGGTGGCCAATTCGTGGATAGCAGCGCCTTGAAGTTTCAATCGAATCCTCTAGCTTTCATGAAATCGAAACTTGTTTTATTAGTCTCCCACGAGCTATCACTCTCAGGTAATGCTGATTTGATTTGTAATTTGAACTGGGTTGTCGACAAAACCTATTTTTTCTGAGGGGATAATTGATTATGTGTGACAAAAGGTGGACCTTTGCTCTTAATGGAATTGGCGTTTTTGTTAAGAGGGGTTGGTGCTGAAGTTGTTTGGATCACTAATCAGAAACCACTTGAAGAAGATGAAGTTGTCTATAGTCTTGAACACAAGATGTTAGATCGAGGAGTTCAGGTTCTCTCTTAGTTCCTAGTCAATAGACTGCATGATTTGTTGTAAAGATGTTGTCTTTAACTTCTTTAGTTGTCTCCTGACTTCAGGTTATCTCTGCAAAGGGTCAGAAAGCTGTGGATACATCTCTCAAGGCTGATTTGATTGTTCTTAATACTGCTGTGGCTGGGAAATGGCTGGATGCTGTTCTTAAGGAAAATGTTGTTAAAGTTCGACCTAAGATCCTTTGGTGGATTCATGAGATGAGAGGACATTATTTCAATCTAGATTTGGTCAAACACCTCCCGTTTGTTGCAGGGGCTATGATTGATTCGCATGCAACGGCAGAATACTGGAAAAACAGAACTCAAGCTCGCTTAGGGTCTGGTTTCCTCTTTGTCATGCTGAATGATTTACTGCAAACGAAGACATTTCTGCAGAGTGTTTTCTTCTTCTTATAGCTTAACATTGTTCTATGACTGTTGGATTACAGGATTAAGATGCCCAAAACTTACGTTGTGCACCTAGGAAATAGCAAGGATTTGATGGAAGTAGCTGAAGATAGTGTTGCCAAGAGAGTTCTCCGTGAGCACGTCCGAGAATCTCTTGGACTGCGGAATGAAGACTTACTCTTTGGCATTATCAATAGTATGCCATCTTTTTTTAGTCTTTCTTGTTCTCAGTTTTTATGAAGAGCTTCATCATCTTCTAAGGAGTAAGAGTTCACGCGTCACCAAAGAATTTACTTAGGTTTGGTATTATTTTCAGGTGTATCGCGTGGAAAAGGACAGGACCTGTTCCTTCGAGCCTTCCACGAAAGTCTTGAAATAATCAAAGAGAAGAAACTTCAGGTACCAACAATGCATGCAGTAGTAGTAGGAAGTGACATGAGTCGGCAGACAAAGTTCGAGACAGAGCTACGCAACTTTGTCCAAGAAAAGAAACTTGAGAACTATGTCCACTTTGTCAACAAAACTCTAACCGTAGCTCCATATATAGCAGCCATAGACGTTCTTGTCCAGAACTCCCAAGCCAGAGGAGAATGCTTTGGGAGAATAACAATCGAAGCCATGGCCTTTAAGCTACCTGTACTTGGCACTGCAGCCGGAGGAACAATGGAGATTGTAGTGGATGGAACGACCGGTCTGTTACATACCGTAGGGAAAGAAGGAGTGATACCTCTCGCCAAGAACATAGTGAAATTGGCGATGCAAGTTGAGTTACGGCTAACAATGGGAAACAATGGGTATGAGAGAGTAAAAGAGATGTTTTTGGAACATCATATGTCACATCGAATAGCTTCGGTACTCAAAGAAGTCTTGCAACACGCAAAGGCTCGTGCTTTACGATGAGATGTGATCATTAAACATGAATGCGAAAATGTTTCTTGATCTCTCTTATTTATTCTGTTCATAGAAAATTACAAATACTACCCAAAGGAAAGTTTTTTTTGTTTGTGTATGATGATTTTTAATTACGAAATACGAGTTGAGATGAGTTTATTGCTGCAATCTGAAAGTAAAGTGCCGGTGAAGTCTTGTGTCATATAAAGTATGAATCTCCAGGGATTAAACTGATAAAACTAAAATGTATGGGTCAAAAGTCGAATACATGCGAAATAGCGGGATTCAACAGAAATAAGTTCATAATATTTCAGTTGTGAAAATCAACGGGAATTATAACAGATTCTTTATTGTTTACTTGCAGAGAAAGAAACAAAAAAATCTCAGAATCGTTCTCTTGATTTGTATACAGTATACTTCAAAGCTTTTGTAATTCGCTTCTATGGAAGACAATAGAGAAGACGACTTAGAGAGGAGACGCAACTTCATTGATATGTACAAGTTTGAGCTCGGTTTTCGCAAGAGCTACCAAGAAAAACTCGAAACTGGTCCTGATTCCTTCTAAACCCAAATCTTGCCTTGTATGTATAATCTTTGTGACACTCGTGTTTTCTGATTCAGCAATGGAGAAATTGGAAGCTTTAAAGAAAGAGTTTAAAGAAACTGAAGACGATCTCAAATATCTTACCACTACTCGTGTGGAAAGGATTGGAGAAATTGTGAAACCTCTAGACAAAAAACGATGTAAATTTCTTCCCTCTCTCATTTTTTCTTGATTTTGTGTTTTTTTTTCAAGATCATTCACTTTTTTTTCTTACGAAGTCAATTTTCAGTTATTGTGAAAGGAAACGATGGAGGTCGTTACGTAGTGAATTGCTGTAACAAAGTGGAACAATCAAAGCTAGTTTCTGGAACCAGAGTTACTCTTGAGAAAAAATCGTTGACGATAATGAGAATTCTCCCTCCTATTGTTAATCCGTTGGTTTATAATATGGTGCATCTACATCGTGGCGATGTTAGATATTCAGATATTGGTGGTTTATCTAAACAAATCAGAGATCTAAGAGATTACATTGAACTTCCTCTCACAAATCCTGAAGTTTTTCAACGAGTTGGTGTAAAGCTTCCCAAGGTTCGGATTGATTTGTTGTTTTGATTTTGATTTTTCCGCAAGAAACAGATTTATCGTGTTGACCTATCTTAACAGGGAGTACTTCTTTATGGACCTCCTGGAACTGGAAAGACATTGTTAGCTAGAGCAATTGCTAGCAACATCGATTCGACTTTTATGACGGTTGTTTCTAGCGCGCTTTTAAGCAAATACTTGGGAGATAGTTCATTGTTAGTGAGAGAGATGTTTAGATATGCTCGTGATCATCAAGTAAGTTCTCTGTTTTTTTTTTTTTTGCTTTATTACGTGTTGTGATTTGTATTTTTTCCATATGATAAAGCTGTGTTCTTCTTATGGGTGGTTTTAAAGCCTTGTATCATCTTTATGGATGAGATTGATGCTATTGGTAGACGTCGTGGATCAAGTGAAGGAGAAGTAAAAACTAGTGAATGTGATAGAGTACTCATTGAGCTTCTTTCTCAACTTGATGGATTCAATGAACTTGATAAGGTTTCTTCTTGCATCTTTGTACTTGTGAAATCAGCAGCAAAAAATAGTTTATGAATCCATGACTTTTGTTGTTTTATCAGGTGAAAGTAATAATGGCAACAAATAGGCCTGATGTTCTTGACCCTGCGCTTCTTCGACCAGGTAGAATCGATAAGAAGATAGAGATTCCATTGCCTAATGGAGATTCTAGAATGAGAATCCTCAAGATTCATGCTTCTGGTATAACTAAACATGGAGATATCGATTACGAAAAAGTCGTGAAACTATCTGAGGTTTGTCACACATTACATTACATGTCTTGTGTTTGTGTTAAACAAAACATTCGATTAAAAAGTTGTTCTTATGCAGGGTTTCAATGGAGCAGATATGCGTAACATATGTACTGAAGCAGGGATGTTTGCTATACGTGCAGAGCGCGATTACGTTGTTCCAAACGATTTCATCAAGGTAAGTAAGTTTCTGCTTAATGTGATGTTTTTATCTTTTGATAATTTGTTGCAATCTCTCCATCTTATGATCAATACTAAAACACTTTTTCAGGCTGTAACAAAACTAGGCGAAGCGAAGAAACTTGAGTCCAGTGCACAGTACAATGCTGATTTTCGGAAAGAGTAAAGATCGAAACATACAGAAGAAGGGATATAGATGACTAACAAATTCATCAAAAGAAGAAGCATAGATCGATTTAGATGGCTCGAGACTTTGTTCTGTTTTTTTTTTGTAAGTCAGTTTGAATCATCATTGGCTTCTCTTTGCATTGATTCATCTGAGGAATCTCCAAATTCGTCTCTATACATCTCTTCTATCATCGGTTTCCAGAGTCGAACCCGAGCATTTATAAACCAATTCGATACCTTTGATCATCAACAACAACAAAAATGATCTCAGACAGAATCTTCCTGATAACAAAAACTTCAGGAAAAAAACAGAATTGGATTCAGAGGAGTGTACTTGGTTCTTGGAAAGTCCTGTTTGAGACGCCAACACTAGCTTCTCTGCTTCATTCGGATAACTGTTTTCATTACAACAATCAAAAATTAATGTTATTTCTCAAACATTTCACTTTGATTCATCACTAATGTTATTACTTAAGCAACAAGAAAACTGACGGGTGTAAAAAATGCTGAAAGAGCCAAGCTCGGAGAATTGCAACGGAAGTCTCAGGCAAGCCTCTGATGGGTTTCCAAGCATGTCTCTGTGGTCCTTGAACCAAACCAAGTCGCTGAAGGGATGATGAAGTGTTGTTCCCATCAAACAAGCTGAGCTGTGATAAGCCAGAGCTGATGATCTTAGGAACATCTTGATGAGAAATGATGAAACTCCGACGAACAGAGTTGAGCTGAGAGATTATTGCTTCTTCAAGACTACCGAAATGTCGAGTCATGGCTTGGAGAGCTAAACCGGTGTATACTTTAGATGATCCTTCTCCTGCTATTTCCTCAAATGATGAAATCACTTGCTCCAATTGATTGCAGTACTGGTCAAATCTTTCTTCTACCTGTCCATAAACCGGGGAAGTAAACCGGATTTAACCAAAATAATGTTGAAACAAAAACCAAAGGAGTAAATTATTGCATAATTAGAAAAAAAAAACTTGAAATTCAAAACTAAAGTATCAAAGAAATGTACCATTTTTGTGATCAAAAGTTTAGGTTTAATGGGTTAGGCCGTTAGGTTTTAAAAATTTGGACTTTTTTTTTTTTTTTTGAAAAAGGCTTAAAATTTGGACTTAGTGTTTAGTTTTTAGACTTTAGATAGTTGTTAAGCTTTAAAATTTGGAGTTTATGGTTTAAAATTAGACTATTTTGTTAATTAAAAGAAAATATAGACCACTCTTTTCAATTTTGATATAAAATTTAGACTATTTTTCGTAATTGTTTGGAAGATTAGAGTGACTAACCTGTTGCAACAAACTGAGAAGCTTGGTGATTTTGATATGAATCTCATGATTCTCAGGCAAAGACATGAAACCAGAACTGCAAAGTTCGGATTTGATTTCGGAAGACAAGCCAAAACCGGGTCTTCTCCTTCCTGGAAACAGCTGTTGGATTAGAATGTTGTTGCAAAGCTCAACCTCTCTACCACCTATATCAATAACTTCTTCTACAAGGCATTGCACTGCCTTTGCATATCTTGAATCCAACAAAGTACCACGGAGAGATGAGCACTCATTTCTTACCCTAAACTCCTCCATCTTCTTCTACTTGGAGGAAAGGAAAAATAATGAAAATGAAAAACTTCTTGGGCTCTTGTTATGTTACTCTTTTTTGCTCCACATACATAAATAAGTAACCAAGAAGCAATCAATATATATTATTACAGATTCATATTTATTTATTTTTTCTTGAAAATTTGAAGTTGACTTGTAGCTTTTGAAACCCATAACACTAGGCTGATGCTAGGTACCAGTATAACCAGAGTGCCTCAAAAAATGATTTTTAACGAAATAACATTTTATTTTGTTTTCTTTCTTTTTTGTTGATTGAGTAAACACTACCCATATTTTGAATAGGAAGAAATTGTTCGTTGAAATTTGTGTTGTTTACTGAGGTAGACCATTATTCGATTAGACCGTCAATTATCCATACATATTTGTGGTAACACATAAAATATCGTTGACGTTGAAAAACACTATTTGAGGTAATCCATGGTCAAAGCTAGGTTTATATTCAATTATTGTGTCAAGAAAGCACTGAAGATTTTGAAATCACGAAGCACCTAGAGAGTAAGAGCCAATGCTGCATCCTGCAGCAAAAGCACTATGAATAGTTACCTATACCTCATCCTACTAATAGCACTTAGTATTTTAAAATAGGAAAATAAATAGAAAAACAAATAATTAAAAGCTGTCCAAGAAATATGATTTTGTATATCCTTGTCAAGAAAAAGAAGAAGAAAAGGGATTTCAAACCTATATGGTCCCTTCTCTGAGCACCAAAACAACAGGCTTTTGAATAAATGCTTCTTCTTATCTTGCTTCAGCATCCACAAACCCTTTTTGAGCTTCTAACTTTGTTGGGGAAGTTCAAAGCCCAAAAAGAGAAAAAGACACACACATGCAAACAACAAGTAATTAACTTTAACTTTTATGTACTTCTTTTCAAAACAGTAATATCTGTATTTTAAAGAAATCATATATATAACATGCAAATTTTAATTGTTGTTATTTTTTTGTTATTAGAAAATAGTTAAGTCTTTTAAATTAGGGGTTTCTGGGTCCAAAGTCCTAAAGATTTAAGAGTTTTAATTTTTGAAGAGGATTAAGAGTTTTTTATGGAGCCAATGACGAGTCTCATTAGGGCTTGGGCCTTGGGGAATAAATAATCTTAATAACACTCTGATATCACATATGCACTATCTTTTTTCTACAAAAGTAAAATAAGGCCCTGAATGTTTACTAGTTTTTAAGTAGTTTTTGGTTTTTAGATTTTGGTTTTTGGATTTTGGTTTTTAAAATTTTGGTTTTTAGTTTTTTTGCTATTAATTTAAAAATTAATTAAAAAGAAATAAAAAATCAAAAATGAAACACAATCACGTTGACAAATAAAGATTTCCACAAAAACTTCAAAATCATGGTTTTTAGTTTCTCTTTGAAACTTAGAGAAACCACTCAAAAACTAGTTTTCCTAAATTTTAGGGAATCTAATTTTTTAAAATCTTGAATGGTAAAAAAATAGATTTTTCCATAAACAAAATCCAAAAACCACTTAAAAACTAGTAACCATTCAAGGCCTAAATTTCAGTTACAAAATGTTTTAATTTTTCATGTAAATACATGTTTGTACAAAGATTTCAATTTCATGAGAGTTTTACCTCATTGAATGTCAACGTACAAAAATTGGTAAAAAGGGGAAAATCTTGGCTCAATCAGAGTCTTTTATTAATTTTCATGATTGCTATTATTTATTGGAATTTCAGAGATTTTGTCTGCGTCTGAACTCAGAACAATAAAGGCAAAGGAGCATGAAAACTTTAAAGAGTAGTATGTGTATATATTATTCGATAGTAGCTGCGAATTAGGACAACTCGTAGATGTTGAAAAGACACTGCAAAGATCTTCAGGACATTGCTTTGGCTTTTTTTTCTTTGCATATCAACTTGCTACAACACATCCAATGGGCCTTCGAGTCTTCGACTTTTGACCTATCCGTAGCTTCTATCGAAGATCATTTATTCATTTTGATCAACAAAGAGTTTTCATAAAATCAAAAAGGAAAAAAAAAGTTTTCAATGAAATATATTATAGACTTCTTTTAATCAAAAAAAATTCTAGACGTAAATTCATAATCTCCTCGAGTTAGATACAAGAACAAGTTAGTTTAGTTTTTTTTCTTGTTTTCGATGTTTGAATTTGGTATTTTCTCGAGCAAAATTGATTCATCGGTTGAGCTATAGTCTATAGATAACAATTTTCTTTGTCTTTTGTTATTTTTATTTTACATGAAAATTTTAAATAATTTCGTGATAAGATTTTTTAAAAAAATATTTATATAAAAAAATATTGTGTTAGTGATGCAAATGAAAATTGGTAACGCACACAGAATGTCGGAAGTTACGATTATACCCCAGGACCGTTTCACGCAGCAAAAATCCAGCGATCCTGGCTGCATCGCTGACACAACACGAAAGTACGAAACGGTCGTGGATCTAAAACCACAAAATAGTACACGTGGCATAATCGTCACCGTCCCTAGATACCACCTTCCGATCTGAAATATATCTGATCATTAAAATTTCTTCAATCAGAAAGGTCCCACAAATCTGAGCCATCCGATTTTCGATTCTTCCTCGAGCCTTCCTTTCTTCTTCTTCTTCTCCAAGAAGATTTTGATCATCTCCTTACTCTCTCCATGTCAAGTTCTGGTGCTCCTTCTCGCAAGGTTCTCTCTCTCTCACTTGCTCTGTTTATTTGACTTTGGTTTTGGAATTAGGGTTTTTGACTGTCTACTTTGGGAAACTGTGTGTGTATGTAGACTCTGAGTAAGATCGCGACTAATCGTCTTCAGAAAGAGCTTGTTGAATGGCAGATGAATCCACCCACTGGTTTCAAACACAAGGTCACTGATAATCTCCAAAGGTAAATTATAAAAATTAGGTTACTTTATTCTTGTTGAGAATCGAATTTTTATAAGATTTAGGAGTTTGTGATGTGAAATTCATGGGTTTGCAGATGGATTATTGAAGTTATTGGAGCTCCAGGAACTCTATATGCCAACGATACCTATCAGCTTCAAGTTGATTTTCCAGAGCATTATCCTATGGAATCCCCACAAGTGAGTGTTTTGAATTCTGAAATTGTAAGCTGAGTACTTCTTAGTTTAGATAAATCATAGAATCTATGATCTTTATCAAGTTTAGTCTCTGCTTTCTCGTGGATCTCTTTCGAGTTTGGTCTCTGCCTTTTCATGGAATGTTTTGATCTGTCTCGAGTTGACTTGAGTTCTCTGTTTTTTTTTTGTTTTTTTTTTTACTTCTTGTTTGTGTTTATAATGTTTTTTTTTCTTTATGTACAGGTGATTTTTCTTCATCCAGCTCCTCTGCATCCTCACATTTATAGCAATGGGCATATTTGTTTAGGTACGTCAGTGATGTCAATGATCATTAGTATTTGTTGTCCGGTATTAAGATATTCAATAATCCTAGTCATAATTAAACACACAGCTTCCATGTTGTTTGATCGGTACAATGTGCAAGTGCCGTGAATCTGTGTTCCGGAACTCATTTACCCTTAACGATACTCATATTCCTTGAGCTTTTGCTTTTAGATACAACGGTATACTCATATCCATAAGATCATATGATTAGTGTTGAGAAACATGTACATAATGACGAAAAACGTTGGCAAGCTGCATTTTGTTGTTCAAATTTCAATAGCCCATTATTATTAAACATAGGCCACACCGAAGAAGAATTTGATGTTGTGTATCATTTTTTCAGATATTTTGTATGATTCGTGGTCTCCAGCCATGACGGTTAGCTCTATCTGCATCAGCATCCTCTCCATGCTCTCAAGCTCGACTGAAAAGGTTCATACAGCTCGTAAACTTACCATTGTGTAAACTATACTCTCTTTGTTCTTCCACAAAGCTGAACCTTCCTCTTACTTGGTTTTGTTGCAGCAACGACCAACCGATAATGATCGATATGTGAAGAATTGTAAGAACGGAAGATCTCCCAAGGAGACCCGATGGTGGTTCCACGACGATAAAGTGTAAACCTCAGATCAACCATAAAAATGTAAAAATAATCCGAAACTGTCTCGAGGTTTGTTGTCTATTTTTAAATTTAATCGGGTTTAAGCTGTCCCAAACCCATCTCCAAAATCCGTGATGTATAAAAACAACACAATAAATTTGACTAATTTGAATCTTCTACTCTAATTTTTAAACCCTACTAACAAAGACCCAACCTAATCTCTCTGATGCTTCTCTATTAGGTCATATATATACATCAGGAAGAATATTTCTCAACTACTACTTTCCTTTGGTTTTTGTCTTGTCACCATGAAGCCGCTGACGAAGAAGACAACGGAGGAAACAAAGACAGAGATGGGTTCTGAAAGATTCTCTGACCAGTAGCGAGTATATGTCGCGGATCAAACTCGGCCTTCAAGCTTCTGAACCGATCCCACTTGTCCCCAAAATGAGCCTCCCACTCTTCCTGTGTTGCGTGGTGGGGAAGGTACTGCTTCACATTGATCTTGGCTTGTTCACAGAACTCCAAGATCCGGCGGTTCTGATCTTTCAGATACTCGAGCTTCTGTGTCTCCTCACCGTCCTTTAAAGCTGATCTCAATAGAGCCACCAGATAGAAAACTTCCTCGTCCGGCGTCACCGCTGAGCTCCTTTCGTCCCATCTGACAATAACACCAAATTACGACACGTCAGCAACGACAATATCTATATTAATGTAATACTAATAAATGATATGTGGAGGGTTCGTTGAGATCGGTTTGGTTTAGGAGAATCCGATTGGGACCCACCCACCATGAGTTCTAGGAACTTAAAAACAAATAAGCCCAATCTGGACCATCGGATTTGGTCACAAAACAAAAAGAAAGAGAAAGACGAGCCGACGAGGCGTTATTGTCAATCTTAGCTGGTTCGATGCACATGTGGACAACGTTTCCGGACAATCCCATGTACCACGTGTCGAGTTTTTTTTTTCAATTTTGACAAACTTATTTTGGTTGGACCACTAACTAATCCCCACAAGTGTAACTTTGCATGCATGCAAAACTCGTTTTATTCTTTTTTTCTAAAGAAGAAATTTCAAAGTAGTAATCAATGGTAGTGTTAAGACTTACTTGTCTTTGTTCATGGGGTAGATAAGGATAGGGCCACTTGTTTTATTTCCTAAAATGCCCTTGAAAACGCCTTTGTCAAAATCAGAGATTCTTGATTTTGGCACGAAGAGGTTGAGCCATGGATGTGGAACCTCCCATAAATTCTTGGACCGGAGCTTCAATTCCGCCTTGTGAACCCGGTCCAGAAAATCCACATACTGTAAATCCGTTGTAAAGACCGATGTCGGTATGAAATTCAATTTCTTCATCAGAATCTCTACTTCCTGTAACAAAAAGAAAAAATCCACATTTAATATACAAAATCCGGATTAGGAAAATTAAAAAAGCTGTTTTGCTATTAAAGCCTACCAAAACCAAGGATAAGTTAAGATTCCAGTAGAGTTGTTTTTATTAAAACTAAGAGGAATCATTATTTGGTGAGTGGTCCATGACCCCGTCCACTACTTAATTAGTAACCATGATTAATTCGCTAGTGATAAACTAAACATCAGAAGAAGAAGAAGAAAATATATTTTTAATATGTGTATTATTAAGTTCAGGTGGAAAAGCTAGATCTCTGTAGATCCTCTCTGGCTTCTTCTTCATGTCCTCTTCCAAATTTAAATTATAATAAAGTCGACACAACAAAAATACTATGGAGACCACTTTCAATCATATAAACTAAATAAATCTTCATAATGATTTCCCAATAATCGCATAGCGTTAAATCCTTCCAGATATTCATCAATATAAAAAAGGAAAATATAGCTTTTTCTAAGTGAATAATGAAAGTGACCTGATCAACGGTTTCGGAGTCGGAATCATGGTAGTTCTTGGTGATCTCCAGGCAATACAAAACAGAGCCGTTAGAACTAACAGAGGAGATCTTGACGGGGTTACGTGGAGAGAAGAAAGAAGATCTCCAATTGTTGACGAGACCTTCGTCCACAATCACAAAACCTTCCACGTAATCAAACTTTAATTGACCATGCATCGAGATTAAGTACTCTTGGTCCTCCGTAAACACTCTGAAGCTCGAATACAATACCCGTATCCATCTTACCTGTCATCATAATATATCATTTTAGGGTTTTATTATCTATAAAAAAAAATGTCATCTAAACAGTGAAAAACTAAAAAGGTTATATAACTAATGGACCCGCCCGGGATTGTGATTTTGGTAAAAAAAAAAAAACACAAAATTTACCCTTTGGGGAGCAGGTTCGAGAGTGATTCGTGCTCGAGTAATGATCCCAAATTGACCTAACCCACCAAGAACTCCGTGGAATAGCCTTGTGTTCTCTTCTTCTGAGCATCTCATCACCTCTCCTTTCCCTATTTTTCATTTCAGGTTTTTATTATTTAAACTTCAAACAAAATCAGTTATTTTTGAAAAATTCAAAATTAAACTTGAATGTTTTATACTAACCAGTTACAACGTCGAGCTCAAGGACGTTAGAAATCTGAGGACCATGGTGAAAAGCTTGACCACTAATTCCTGCATTGGAGAGTGTACCTCCAACGGTTAGGTACAAGTAATCAGTCCATGATTTTGGTGCTAAGCCATACTCCAACGTTTTCTTCAACACATCGACCCATAACTCTCCACCCCAAACGTCCACATACATTTCATCCGGTCGGACGAGTGGCTCCGGCGTCCCGGTTACGCCGTGGTTCATTTCAACCACAACACCGTTCCTTCCCGCCGCGGCTTGTCCGTTTATGGAATGGCCGTGGCCTCGGGCTGAGACCGGAAACGCCGTGGCCGAACCATAAGCTGTTCTGACGAGTCGTGCCACGTCTTCAGCCGAGGAAGGATGTAGCACGGCTAGTGGCTCTTCCGGCGACCTCAGCATACCGAAGTCAGACGATACGGAGGCTAAGGCGGAAGGGTGGACGGTGAAGTGGCCATCGACATCTATGGCTCCGATGCGGAGGAGCTCACTGGGGCCCACGTTTAGACCCACGGCTATGATCAGTTTACATATAGCGAACGTCATGAGAAGAAAGCTTGACGTCATTTCACGATTCATCAAATAAATAGTCAAGAAACAAGAATCAAGATCGAGGAGGAAGAATATATAGAAGAAAAAAAGATACGATAATAATGTTTTTTTAGATAATGAAAGATTTTATGGGGAAATGAAAAAACATATATAGGAGATCCTTGGGGGTTCGTGAGAGCTAACGTAAGCCCAGATTACGCTTTGAAGATTTTCTGAGCAACATGCACAGATTCTCCTCTTTTTTTCGGTTTGGGTGAAACTTTAATATTATTATAAATATATAACGAGTGGTTTTAATATTATTTTCGTACAAATTTATCGAGTTTATGCGTTTATACGTGTGTGTCGAGAATATGAAGACAAGAGTTCTCTATTTATAGGACAAAGAGTTGTACCGGAGAAGATCACGTCATATTCTTTATTAACAAGTTCATCTTTAACAAAAACCAAAAAAGAACCGTGTGATTTCTACGTGTCACTGTTTATATTAACCTTTTTTTCCTCTGTCAATTTTGATGTTAACTGTAATACTGCATAGTGTATTACATACACACGTATGTATTTATTTCAGCAAGACATCGTAGACCGACTACGTAACGATTTGACTAATTCAAAACTGGCAGTGTCAAAATACAAGAATCAACCAATTTGATATAGTTATAAAGAAACGTGTTATCAATGTCGAGCTATATAACTTTTTGATTTGACTATTGACTTTTGCAAAATTAGTTGTCTAGGAATTCAAGAACAAGCACTAGACAAATCAACCATTTTGATTGATCCCCAAAAACGTTTTAAATGATAGTTTTTTTGTATCAAACTTTGATGATTAATCTGAACTTTTAATATTGAATCTCCGATTATCTGAAAACAAAAAAGAGAAAAAAAAAATGAAATTTTAACTGAAAAAATTAATGAAAGGAAGAGAGGATGGGATAATTAGAGTCATGGGAAGAGGCATGGGAGGGATGGGAGAAACGGAACGGAAGAACGCCACGTGGATATTCACGTGGGAGAGGATGAGGTCACACGTGTGTAGTGAAAGAGTAGGGTCCACATTTGGATACGGAGAATCATAGTGGGCCCTCTTCTCTCCTGAGATGAAGAAGTGAGTTCACGTGGTTATTACTTGCACGGTAATAACACAAACTCAAAATGGATTATTTTGATTTTTTAAATAAAAAATTAAACGAAAAAAGGAAGAAAAAAAAAAAAGAAGAAAATTAGATTCTTCTTCTGCAGTACTTTGCAGTCGGTAGATCCTCTCTTGGCTTCATCGACAAATTAATTGCACATTTACAATTCATTTATAAAATCTCTAATCAAAAACTCACGTTTATTTTTTGTACTTAAGAAGATACGATTCTACGACTGATATATAGTAGGTGAAGTCAAAAATGGTTTAACAAATTTGACTCCGTACGTGGTTATTACTTATATCAATTCGTTAAGTCACTTATTATACTTATTTGGTAATATTCTAAAGCCTAGCTTGATTTGATGATAATTAGTTTGGTGGGTCGATTTGGTACTATAATTTTCTATAGAAACAGTGAAGAGCAAGTTGGGATCTATTTGATGCCAATCCAAACATCAATACCTTTGCACGATAATAGAGATTGGTACGTTTTACCAAATTTTCGTATATCTCGTTAACGTCAACTTGTTCTCATGTTTTGATTTCTTTTTTCGGATTTATGGCTTATTACTAGATATAATATATAATGTTTAATATCAGTTTTACACTTTTATAATTCTATTTGCGTTGCTGAGTCGTATAAATATGAATTAATCCAAAAATAAAATATGTCGGTTGGTTCTACAAGTATATTTTTTTTATTTCATAATTTGCTCTTTGTTAATGTGAAATTTGAAATCTTTAGATTCTACAGGTTTTCTCCACAATAAAAAAAGTTATATACTTGCAAGTCTACAGTCCTAACCAATTGGACTTAAAATTCTTATAAACAATGACGAAAAACTGCGATATATCCGATCAGTTTTTAATTTTAAACACAATAGTACTTAAATAATTAGATATTGCCACTTGGTGTTCTTAGTGCTCATAAATAAGT